CCCTTCTAGTAGCCTCTTTAATGTCGTCCAAACCCTCAATAACGTCAAGATTGAAAGCAAACTGTTTCTTGTTACTTCGATACTTGAAATCCTTGGATGACGAAACGTCCTTGAAACGCTTTAGTGTGGAAGTCGAAGAAGAGTGTACTTCTTCTCTCAATTCTCTTTTCAATGTCTTGAAATGCTGGTCGAAATAAGAGCGCATCAAACCAAATTGCTCAATGGAAGATTCATCTACAGAGCCATCTGTATTTCCATTTCTAACACTGAATGACGAACTATCTCTAATTCTATCTTCTGATTCAGCCATTTATGAAATCGTACTGTATGTGTTTACTGCACAATGCAAAGACTTCGAATGAGGAAAAAATCTTAACAACGATTATCAAAGTCCGTGCAAAACTGAATACCATAAATACTACAACCGTAAAGGGTGATACTCACTAAAACTAGATGATTTACTTTAACCTATGATAAATATATCTGTTGACCAACGAGATAAGCTGAACCAAAGGTCAACTTGATTCATATAAAATCTTTATCACTCACATGAAATAATCGATTTTAACAGGTGTATTAAATACGCTACATTCTATCTATGGTGGCTGATTTGTGCCATTTGTGTTTTTGCCCCTCGACCCCGCCAAGCAAAAAGTCGAGAATCGACAAGTTTAAACGGCGGGGTCGCGAGACGGAAACACGCTAATAAGCGAGGGCGCGGGGCGATGTTAAATAAATAAAACTTCGCCCCGCGGGGGCGCGGAACGAGATTTAACAAATAAAACGGCGGGGGCGCGGAGCGAAAACACGCTAATTGGCGCCCCGCTAAAAAGCGTGTTTTCGCTCCGCGCCCCGCCATTTTTACTTGTTAATTCTCGACTTTTCGCTTGGCGGGGTCGCGGGACGAAAACACGCTAATTAGCGGGGGCGCGCGGCGAAGTTTTATTTTCTTAAACTTCGCCCCGCGCCCGCGCTAATAAGCGTGTTTTCGTCCAGCGACCCCGCCGTTTTATTTCTTGAATCTCGCTCCGCGCCCCCGCGGGACGAAGTTTTATTTTTTAAACTTCGCCCCGCGCCATCGCATTATAAGCGTGTTTTCGCTTCGCGCCCCCGCCATTTTAACTTGTTAATTCTCGACTTTTCGCTTGGCGGGGTCGCGGGACGAAAACACGCTAATTAGCGGGGGCGCGCGGCGAAGTTTTATTTTTTAAACTTTGCCCCGCGCCCGCGCTAATTAGTGTGTTTTCGTTCAGCGACCCTGGCGTTTTATTTCTTAAATCACGCTCCGCGCCCCCGCGGGACGAAGTTTTATTTATTAAACTTCGCCCCGCGCCATCGCTAATAAGCGTGTTTTCGCTCCGCGCCCCCGCCATTTTAAACTGTTAATTTTCGACTTTTCGCTTGGCGGGGTCGCGGGATGAAAACACGGCGAAGTTTTATTTATTTTACTTCGCTCCGCGCCCGCGCTAATTAGCGTGTTTTCGCTCCGCGACCCCGCCGTTTTATTTCTTAAATCTCGTCCCGCGCCCTCGCTAATGAGCGTGTTTTCGTCCCGCGACCCCGCCGTTTTTGGCGGGGTCGCGGGGCGAAGACACGAATGGCACAAATCAGCCACCATACTATCAGGTATGCCATTTACTGTCGCCCCCCCCCCCCGCCCCACGACTGAAAAATAGATAAAAAAAAATCAAAGGCAATTGTGAATGTTAATAAGAAAACGGTCCACATCATTTATCCATTTGAGATTGCCGCAATACATGTTGATCGACATAATCACTTCAGTAAATATGCCTCTGTTTTGAAGGCATCCATTTTAACATTGTTTGTTAATGAATAAAAATCCATTTTATCCGATTGAAATATAGTTATCAGTCAATGTATTTATTAATGTATCTGTTCATAACACTTAAACGTCGGATAATTCCTCGTATTTGTATTTTACCTATCCTTAAATTTCCTTTGCTTTAAACAGTACAGCAATAATGAAAATTCGACATTATATATGCATTATAAAATAACTGTTTCATTTCATCTGTCAAGTAATAAGATAAACGCCTCAATAATGCTATTTTTGAGTTAAGTATTGAACAAAGTGCTTCAATTTGGAAATTCCATGACAAGTTATTATTAATATACCTAATAATTTTTGTATTTTTACATTTTCTATTTATTGTTTTGCCATACATAAAGTAAGAGCATTACAATAATTACTTTTTTGTTTTGTACATAATACCATGCAGTTTGTTTTATTTGGATTGATTTCTGATTAACATATTGTTTAAATTACACCATCGATCTATGGCATCCACAAATTTTGTCGAAGTTTACTTTCTACTACATTCAAATCATGATCAGATACATATACATGTATTGTAGATTCGTCAGCATAAAGATCTATATTACTATTTGTAGTAGCTAAAGCAATATCATTAATAGGTGAATCTCAATGGTAATTCCAAAATAAAGTGTAAAAGACAGTTCAAACCATTCTAAAATTAAATGGGAAGGGACAGTTTTGCCACTATAAGATAAAGTGTAAAGGATAGTTCTAAAATAAAATGTACAGTAATGAGGATAGTTTTTTAACTTTTAGGATAACAAAATTTATAAAGTCAAACGTAAAACAAGTAAAAGGGACACCTTAAATAGAAGTTGTTATTCTTTGAAAAATCATCAATATCAATATGCTATAATTTAATTTCCATGTTTACAAAATAGTTATTTTCTTAATAGATACAAGAAATAATTATCATTTGAGTGTTATGCAAGCATTGCTAACATTTGTTTTTGTATTGAAAACTTAAAAATTACATAATTTTGCATGTAAAAAAGTTTTTACTTCGGCCGAGTATCGTTTTGTTAAAAACTCCTTATCAGAAGTATCAAGGTCCTAATTAGGCTTTTCAATTTCCTTATTACAAGTTACATAGTTATATTCCACTAAAATTCTTTTGTAACGTTTTTATTTCATTAGAGATTTTCGACCATGCGACCACATACATGCATCGAGAACATGTTTGACTATACGACCTTTACGAGAAAGGGACAAAGAGCTGTCCGCCCTTTTATTAAAGGACATACTAAAATATGCCATTTCCTTATTGTTATTGTTAAGGAGGCTAATGTGAATTGGCTTATATACAACAATAGTAACGCAAACCAAGTGGGGTCAGTTTTCGTTCTTTAAAGTTAGCTTCGAAATTTTAAAAAGATCATAATATATAATTTCTTGGAAAATTTTGAGTTTAAATTTTTTCTACTTTCCATTCTATGTATATAATAGAATCATTTTATTTTTGCGACACATGAACTTTTATAAAACGTTTTAAATATATTAAATATTAAGAGATTAATACACGGCAGAGTAGGGCCGGAAGTAGCACAACAAATTGTGTGCTTTAGGGCTTTTTATTATATAGACGAGACATCGTATGAAATATCAGATTATAAAATCGGTCGATCTTGCAGTCGAATTATTGAGACTAGACCGGAATGTGAAAATCGGCCCGCAAAATGAATAATGGCCCGAGGGCTTCAGCCCGAGGGTATTTATTTCAGGACTGATTATCACTATCCGGCCCGTCTATGACATATATCAAACTCTTTAATACATTTGATATATCTAAAAGAAGCATTAACTACTTTGATATTTCTATCGTTGAAATTCCTGTTTCTGTAGATTTCTACTGAACAGTAACTTCTACAGAGCGCTGCCTTATTAAATGTGAATGAAGAAGCACGTTTTATTTTCTCGGAATATAATATATCATATTTTTATTCTTCAAATTGCACTAATATACTGTATTTGTACGTTCTCATAATAAAATCAAGCGATTCGTGCGTGAAACCTACTTTCACTTTTACAGCTAGCTAATTAATGTGGCGTCATTGTTTCATTTTGTGCACGTAAAAGTCGATGGCGAAGGCACGATTATATGCTTTTCGATTTTTGAGAGCGCCGACCCGGAGACACCATACCTTTTAGGCGAAATAACGAATAACAGGACACGATGTCCTCTTCTGTAAAAATATCATGTGGTCGGGTAGAAATCTTTGCGGGTAGAAATCTTTGCGGGTAGAAATCTTTGTATCGGTGCTCTTTATTTGTCGTTTCGTCTTTGTCTCAAAAGGCGAAATGCGAAGACAGGAAAATGTTTATAATTTATATATATTTTTGCATATTAATCCAGTATTTATCAAAATAATTGCCTTACCGACTGCGTAGATGTTGGTGTTAGAAACGGAGTTCAGAAGTAGTGCCTCATAGCATTATAGTGGCCTATTAACGGACATTTAACGAACCGGAGCCGAAGGCTGAGGCCCGTCTGACTCGGAGGTCACTAAAATGCTATGATACCGCACTTTTATAGCACATATTTGTAAAAGTTGGATCTAAATTTATTTTACCCACAAAAGATTTTTTAAAATGTACTAAAAATTGTTGGCAGACAACTTATATTAAGCGCGTTTTTTTGTGTGTAAAATTGTCATCGCTTTTATATACGTCGTTAACCTTTAGTGATCCGACAAAAATATTATCGTACTTTTTAAACTTTTATAGGCTCGCTGACATATAAATCAAGAAAGAACATACTCATGTAAGGTATGATATAATGTAGTAGTATCCGCTCAGGCGGTCACTATACGTTTATGTCGGACCGCTGACATCATCGCGAATGTTATACTATTTTAAGGCCCGCTGATGCTTACATAAATAAAGCAGGAACACATTTTTTTTTCATCAAATGACGTAATAGACAGGTACTGACGAACGCAGAACAAGAAACAAATGAAATAGAATGAACATTTCCATCTCCAATTATCTCTCTTCTAACAATATATATAACTATCTCACATCATGTCAAGCTGCGAAGATCGGATTTTTTGAGAAAAAAAACAAAAAAAAAAACAACAAAAACTTCTTGCAGGTAATTTAAACCTAGTGATAACAATATATTACGTGCTTACTATGGTAAACTGAATTTAAAAGGCTTAAATGATAGATGTACGTACGTCTCTCACGCGGCGGATAGTTTCTCACGGGGCGGATAGTTTCTCATTACCCACTCGCCTGAAACGCTATTCTAATTTACACTAACCTTTTCTCATTTTATCATTATTTAACAACGCGGAAGGTTGAAAGGTTAATGCGCGGGAAATTCCATTCTATGGAAAATTTTACATTGGCTTAAATCCAGAAGTGAAAATAAAGATGGACTGTGAAAAAGGTGAGTGCTGCAAGTTTGTAAATATTCATTTTTCTTGGTGAATGCTTTAACATGAGGCGTTGCATGTGGAATTTACAGGTGCATGGAAAAGAGTTAGCATCTTTTTTCTCTAGTGTTTTTTTTTCTAGATTATTTTTCTATTTCTTTTTATTTGCCAAGCAATTTGCGAATTTAGTGAAGGTATCATGTGAAATGATGATATTTTTATGAACGCTGTTCTTATGTAGAATTTAAATAAACGCGTGTCTCGCCATTTTTCTTTATATTTCCTTTGCTATTTATCCTGAATGAATATAAATCCTATTCAGAAGCTAACGTTAACAATAGAATGGCGGAAATGATGCGTTTTGTAAAATTGCGTGACTTAGTGTTTGTGTTTGTTGACATACATGAATCATTTGCTGAAACTAATTAATAACAATTATGATATATATTTTGAGTTTGTTGTCATAATTAACATCAACAGTGAATGTATTTGGGATAGAAATTCTTATTGAATTTTCCACCTCGATTTAAATTAAACAGTACCTTCTCGGTAAAATTCCTTATCTTTTTGGAAGCAAGTAATGGTGTAAACAGCTGTTTGGCAGAAGAACCCTTTGCGTGTCGATGAGAATGAAATGAGCACTGGCGCGAGAAATTGACATTACGCCGCCTGTCAATCAAGCTGGCAGGGGGCTTTCAGATAATTAAGCCAATCGGCGATCTATTCAGTTTCACGCTAAGATTTCTGAGAAAACCGCCATTTTCCTTAGACAAGACAATGGTGCAGCAGTATTTGTATTGAAATTATTTTGATTTTTTTGTCAATTTTTTAAAGCTATTTAAAACGGTATATCTAAGTTACAAAATATCCTGACATATTGACTGATGGAGTCAGTAAGTTCATTTTACAAAACCAAACTATCAGTAACTTTCTTTATATGAAGATAAGTTATATCGCAGGTACGAAAGTTAAAAATTATATGTGAATTTCCGCTGCACCAGATGTGAAGTATAAGTAATAGTATATCTATTACTTAAAAATTTATTTAAGATTCAATCCTTTTTTAAGAAAATCGAAATGTGATTCTACCCTCCGGACTCTCATCTATATTACCCATTTATGTTTAGGATTTCTATGCAGTTTCATCGAGATATTCTTTCGGTCGTGGGTTCTGGTCTGCTTCAATAACATCATATCTGATCACGGTTTTAATTTAAAGCCGAAGTCTGGAATATGCGAAACTTATTTTGAAGTGAATAATATTACGTTTTATCACGAAAATATCTAATGTACAAATATACATGTAATCGTATATCATACAAAAAAGTTACGCAAGGCCAATTTTCTCATTTAATTTTGATAATTTATGCACAAATGCATTACATATAAGTGATTTCGCACAAAAAAAAAACCAAAAACAAAAAACAAATACAAAAAAAAAATGTTACTGTTTCATTCATGTAATTTTACTTTTATATGATATACTAAGATTTTAAACGGTACAATATTGATAGTTTTAACAGTCGACACGGTGGAAATTGATTTTCTCCTCTTGACTTCGTGTTATCCATTTAGAACGCCCCCTTGAGGAATCATTATCTTTGTTAATGATAGTATCTGCAGTTTCTTGACATCATACTTGAAAAAAACCAAGAAACACTAAATCTCATTCAGGTCTATCGCTAACATATCATATGATTTCCTAACCTTTTTATCTCCAACTACGAAATGCAAATAATCAGATATGAGAAATGGTTACGAAAATATAATTTCACGAGCGTTAACATGGCGTAAAAGCATGATCCCCCCCCCCAGATAAAATATATATATTCAGATTAAAACCTCATTATGTAATATTGTATCATTTATTGTAAGTATTGTTAAAAAATATGGAATAATGATGTATTTCCGATGTATAGGATTACATCTACCACATATGAATGACACACGTATTTTTTAATGAAAAAAAGATTAAGCCTTTTCAGTTGTTTTGTAGTGCTCTATAATTTTGATTTATCATTATTCATAACTCATTTAATATTATAAAACTATTGACTTGTGAGCCATTCTATATGATGCGATAGCCTAGGTCAATATGACATTTTGCCGGTGAATGTCTGTTTTATTATGTGATCAACCTAAGATTAAAAGACATAAACAAAGAGTTAAGCGTAATATTAAAAACAAGTTATCAATGTACTTATTATGATTGCGGTGTAACTTTTACCAATTATTTTTTGAGTAAATATATATTTGAATTGAGAAATATGCCACGAAGAACAAAATGCAACAATTTTAAATAGTCTATGCTGTATTCTCATTGAATAATGAGTATGATGCCATTTTAGGCCAGTGTAGTCTTAACTGCGCATGCGTAAATCATTTTCACCCAGTGAATATGATTTACGCACGCACAGTTTATTGTCTTCGCGGTATGGTTATTGAATATTAGTCTAATTCTTTTTTTAGATCGGGCAAATCCAATTCAACCAGGAAATATGATACTACACCCAGTGAATATGATTTTATGATTTGTTCTGTTGACTACTGTTTGAACCAATGAGATTGCAGCTATTTTTTTAGATCATATAATAAAACCCAATACATTGTATTATGCTTTTGAAATGGAAAGAATAAAGAACTAATTTTTTGTTGTCGGAATGTTACGCATTTAGTTGGGAGCCGTTAGATATTTCGGCATTGTTGAAAACTTTCGCCATTCTTTTTCATACTGAAAATATAAATATATCCATGGTCCGTCTGATGTTCCATACTTTAATTAATTTTATTATTAATCACTAGTTTTGACTGGATTTTTCTGGTCAATTCATATTGTTGCTGCTTTGTTCCTGCATGGTCGTGATGTTGCAAACTATATCTTTTAATTTATTTATATTATTTGTTTTGTTTACTCCGAGCCAAGGTCAGTTGATGTTTGATGTAAAATAACAATGTCTGGACTAATTTGTAAATAAGTATTGCGGTACATGTGCAGCGCAAAAAAAAAAAATACAGCCGAGACAATAATGGGGGGAAAGTATTAAGGGAAGTAACTCCATATTCAGTGTAAAAAAAAACATATAATCATGTCACGATTATATGTAGTATTTACATCTCATCATTGTACTGACGTTTAAGACAAAAGTTTACAGCATAAAAGTAAAATGCCACTCCAACATGGAGTTAGTTATAAGTGATGAAAATACACTATCACAACGTTATCTAGAGTATATACATTCATAAAATATGGTGCTACATCATGTTATATTTTTCGTTTTTTCGTGAAAAATGGAATATATTTTCACTTATCACGATAAAATTCACTACATGAAATTTATCATATTTCGTGAAAATATATTCCATATTTCACTCTAATGGAAAATATTCTCTTAAATAAGTATTATATACATATATCAATGTATCATTGAAATAATAAGTTTATATGATTTTTCTCTCTCCCCCCCCCAAAAAAAAACAAAAACAAAAAAAAAACAATAAAAAACATTGCAATATCCATAAACTAACAAAATTAATCATCGTGACTACCTGAAGAAGAAATTATTATGTTAGCAGAAGTATTTTAATTATTCGCGTTTACATGAACTAACATTATAATGAACCACTTTTATATGTCAGTTTGATTTACAACATCATATTTAATGTCGACATTGTGTCAGATGCTTGACCTGATTATCGCAATCTTATGCAACAGCGATTACAACAACAACAACAGCCACATCAACAACACCAACACAAAATCAGCTGCATGAAAAATAACGTTAATAAAAGAGTTCTAATTGCATTAAATATATTTGTAATAAATACCATGCAGAACAAGCAATATGGGCTTAAGACGATACTGATAATCATTATCTGCAAAATAAATAAACAAACAAACAAATAAATAAATAAAATAATGAATGAATGAAAGAATAAATGAATAAATGAATGAAATAATTAATTTATAAAAATAAATAAATAAATAAATAAATAAATAAATAAATAATCGAATTTCTTCATTAGCATATGTTAGGAAAGATTCTGTACTTTCTTCAGAAAGGAAGAAAGATTTTGTATCATATACTATAATTTAGACTTGTCAACATACGAAAGATTTTATACTATTTCCATCACCTACGGAAATATTGGACTACCAACAACCTCTCCGGAACGATATCAGACTACTCTATCACCTTTGGAAAGATTTTAGACAATCTCCACTACCTCAAATCTTTCCGATTTCGGACTATCTCCAACCTCTCCGGAAAGATATCGGACCATCTCTATCTCCCCGGAACGATTTTGGACTATCTCCATCACCTCCGGAAGTTGATACGATTTTGGACTATCTTCAACCTTGCCGGAACAATTTTAGTCTATCTCTACCACATTCAGAAACATTTTGGACTATCTCAAGGACTACTTTGTACCATCTCCGGAAATAAATGCACCATATGTATCACATTGCCACTTTGCAACCTTAATAACTGCATACATTCAATGAGCCGCGTCACGACAAAACCAACATAGTGCGTTTCGACCAGCGTGGATCCAGAACAGCCTGCGCATCCGCGCAGTCTGATCAGGATCTATGCTGTTCGCTTACCAACCCTATTACAAGTAGAGACACTGATAGCGAACAGCATGGATCCTGATCAGACTGCGCGGATGCGCAGACTGTTCTGGATCCATGCTGGTCGCAAACGCAATATGTTGGTTTTGACGTGACGCGGCTCAAATTATCTATCAGTACAGAACAGAATAGAATAGACCGTATGTATAACAATAAATATTATTTTGTTTTAGGTGATGAAGCTAATGAAGTGTTCGACTTGCGGGAGAACAGCAGTGATGATAGTGTTCCATGCTCTATTGAAAAAGTTCCAGAAAGAGACAAATGGTCCTCGAAGTTTGACTTCATCTTGTCATGCATTGGCTTTGCTGTTGGGCTTGGAAACATTTGGAGATTCCCATACCTCTGTTATAAGAATGGTGGCGGTAAGTATAAATGTAACGTGTTAGATTACTTTTTTTTGGTTATGTTTGACTGTAAGTCAAACTGGCGTGCTCAAGTTATATGACAACGTTTTAGAAAGCTCAGACTTTTCATGGAAGGGAGGGATGGGGGTGGGAAGGAACAGATGGAGGTCCATGCACTAGCAGGGAAAACTATCCAACTTTTACCGTTCGTCTGTCACTGCCTTGCCATTTTAATGGGGCGGTTTAGTTTTTGCGGCGCACATATCCATTTCGCAGTTTTTTTTCCTGGCAATCGGTTCCATCGGGAACGAGCCAAGGCTCGTTCCCGATGGAACCGATTACCCTCGGGTTTGGATTTCCCTATCCTCTATCTAACCTAATGATTCTATTAGTTTTTATTCCAACTGTCTTCGAATGGTGGGGGTTGACCAGATATTTGATAGTGTCCGCTATTTTCAGGGATGTACCGGTTTACCATGCAAATGTAATTTAGTTTCTTAAAAAATTGCACCCGCGTATATTTGTTTTCATTTGTAATAACAAACTTGTTTTTCTGTGGAAATAAATACGCTTAATCTCTACTCGTTTTTCTCCGTCATAATAAACTTCAAGAGGAGCAGGATACACTTATAAATAAAAAAGATACAGACCTTTTTTCATATAAAAGATACAGACCTTTTTTTCATATAAAATATACAGACCTTTTTTCATATGACGAGTTATCTGTTTAAATAATGCTGTTTGTGCATCACATATGTCTTAAATGTCAAAATATTACATGTAACCAGTGCAAAGCCATTAGTTCTTTTTTAAGCACTTAACCTAAATACTATATTAATGCATTTTGTACGATGAAAAATGCTTCATTATTGTACAATATTAAGGTAATAATAGTTTGTACAAAGTCGGCATACTTCGGTAATTTTCGTAACTAATGACTGTTCGGACAAGTTGTATATATACATTGAATTACACGGGTTTAAGACACTTAAATATTTTCATTTGGCCAAACAATAAGTTTACTAAATATCATTAAGTAGCTCGGTTTTGTGAGTGACTTAGCGACTCTGTAATCCTATATATTGTTTTTTGTTTTGCTAATGTTTTCTCTTAATCTAAGAAATGTACTATATTTTTTGCTAGGACAAAAAAAAAAAAAAAAAAAAAAAAAGAAAGAAAGGAGAGAGAGAGAGAGAGAGAGAGAGAGAGAGAGAGAGAGAGAGAGAGAGAGAGAGAGAGGCAAATCTCATTAAAATCATATTATCCTAGCTGGTGCATCGCTATTTTTCGCTAGCGTAGCTTATCGGAAGGAAAAAGTAGTGCTGGTTTTTATGAGGAATACATAAAAAAGTCATTATGAATTTGTTGGAAAAATCAAATCTTTTTCATCTTTTTTATCAATGGATGATATAATTATTTACGCAGCTATACTTAAGTAATCTAAATTGCTATATTTTTTCTATACTAGTTGAAGGGTTGATTATGAAAGCTAAGTTTCAGTCGATTTGTTGGTATCATTTTAATTACTTTTATTTATATCAATCTTCATAAAACTTTTGTTTGTAAATAAAAATGAAATTATTTCGGATGTATGTACTCCCATTGTCGAAAATACATGCATCCAAACCAATGTTGTTAAAGCTTTGAAGAACAAGTGACGTTTCTTATGGAAAATTTTACATAAAAATATTATAATAAATCCAAGTACGAACTTACTTTAAGATGTTGAAATTTTATATTAAAATACAAACCAATTGAAACATCTCTTAATGAAGTTCTAAAGACATTTCTTGTTAATTAAAAGAAATATAAGCCGAAAAATTTCTTTGAGAGAAGATTTTGATTTATTTTCGCGGCCTAGCGGCCTGGCTGTTTTAACTTTAAAGTTGTTGAAATTCTATAAAATAATTAAAACGGTTCTTAAGACATTTCTTGTCATTTTGCAAAATTCAAAAAAAAAAAAAAAGAAAAAAAAGAAAAAAGATTTACCATGATAAATTGCTCTCGAGATAATTTCAAACATCATTGTTTAAATTTTTGTTATTTACACAGAATGCCATCTTTTCAGCACACCTCTACAGTAGTTTATTTTTTTTTTCATTTATCTTATCAAATAATAAACAAACAAACAGTAGAAACATGTTTCCACGAGATAAGATTGCGTATTATTTTGTCTATTTCCTGCTGCCATGCTACACTGGTTATCTGGAACCGGCAAATTTAAGGCGATTCTACGCTAAATATGGGGCAACAAAATGATTTTTTATTGTCACGGTTCAGAACTGTTCACTATTTAGGGGAGATGATGTGTAAGCGGCTTGATAACTCAGGTGGTAGAGATGCTGTACAGTATTCCGGGGGTCCTAGGTTTGAGTTCCGGTCAGGCTGCACATTTTCTCACCCTGTGACACTTGGCGCCCAACAGGGGACCGTGACTGAATATAGCTCAGAGTTTAATTAAAATTTCTCTGTTACTCAGTAAATTCGAGGATGAACTTAAATATAGCAGAGGAGTATGTCACGGTTCAGAACTGTTCACTATTTAGGAGAGATGATTTGTAAGCGGCCGGATCAATAAGCTAATATGACTAAGAGCCGTAGTACAGTATTCCAAGGGTCCCGTGTTCAAGTTCCAGTCAGGCTGCACATTTTTCTCACCCTGTGACACTTGGCGGTCCCAACAGGGGACCATGACTGAATATTGCTCAGAGTTTAATTTACACTTGAGCCACGTCACGACAAAACCAACATAATGGGTTTGCGACCAGCATGAATCCAGACCAGCCTGAGCATCTGCGCAGTCTGATCAGTATCCATGCTGTTCGCTATCAGTTTCTGTACTTGTTATAGGGTTTGCAAGCGAACAGCATGGATCCTGATCAGACTGCGCGGATGCGCAGGCTGGTCTGGATCCATGCTGGTCGCAAAACCATTATGTTGGTTTTGTCGTGACGCGGCTCAATTCTCTGTAACTCTGTGAAATTGGAGGATGAATTTCAATATAGCAGGGGAGTATGTCATGGTTCAGAACTGTTCACTATTTAACGGAGATGATGTGTAAGCGGCCGGATAGCTAAGTCGATAGAGCCATGGTACAGTATTCTGAGGGTCCCGGGTTTGAGTTCCATTCAGGCTGCAGATTTTTCTCACCCTGTGACACTTGGCACCAAACGGGGGACCGTGACTGAATATACCTCAGAGTTTATATCTATTTTTCTGTAACTCTGTGAAATTCAAGGATGAATTTAAATATAGTAGGGGTCAGAATTATTCACTATTTAATTTGGGGAGATGATGTGTAAGCGGCCAGATAGCTAAGTCGGTAGAGCAGCGATATGGTATTCCGAGGGCCCCAGGTTTGATTTCTGCTTGGGCTGCACATTTTTCTCACCTATTGACACTTTGCGCCCAATGGGGACCGTGACTGAATAATAATTAGCTCAGAATTTATTAAAAATTTAATAATTTAATTTTCTCTGTAACTCTGTGAAATTCGAGGAAGAATTTCAATATAGCAGGGGAGTATGTCACAGTTCAGAAGTGTTCACTATTTAGGGTCCCGGGTTCGAGTTCCAGTCAGGCTGCACATTTCTCTCACCCTATGACACATGGAAAAAAATGTGTCCCCTCTATCATTTTATCTTTTTTGTGTTGTTGCGGTTGAAGGGCATATATTCACAAAATACTGAAAAAGGTAAAAAGGTGTGGCACAAATCAGACACCATAGTTAAGTGATCCTCAATTGGCAAAAATGGCAGCTGACTTAAATGCAGTAAAGCTGTGGAGTTCCTTTGTTAATTTGAATTGTCATTTTTGTCTAAATGATTTATTGAGTTGGGAAAACGTTTTTTAACATTTTGATATCAAAGTTAATGCAATATAATGACGCATATGTACTTAATCAGTTAAAAGAAAGTATATAGATCACATTTTAACAGAATTTGTCCGCCATTTTGAAAAACGGCCGAAGGATACAAGCCGCTTTAAATCGTGTTATTTATATTTATGGCGTTTGTTGATTAAAACAATCATTGAATTGTGAATATTAAAATATCTGGCAAGTTATTAGACCTTTATTCTTAAGAATAAATTGTATGGTAATGAATGACAAGTTTTAAATTTATAGTACCCTTTCGGGCAAAATTTTCGGGTAATTTGACCTAGTTTTCGGAGAAATTGGCCATTTTCAACTACAGCTTAAGAAATTAGTTCTAGCCAATTTAGAAATAAAACAATGGACAAGAAACAAAGTTTAACACCCCCGACAAGTTTTAAAAGCATTTATTTTCATGAATTTAATACTTTTAGAACTTTTCAGGTTTTTTTAAAAATGCCCTACGAAAGATGCAGAATTTGGCGATTTTGCTCAATTTCACGAATACATTCTGCATGAAAAAATATTGTCATAATACATTGTAATCAAATACATAAACCGAAATAAGTGTTCTATGCTGAAGATTTATACCAATTTTCTTAGCGCTTTGTTTGTAAATAAAGTTACAGGCAAGTTTTAAAAAACATGTGTAAACCGTGGTAAAATTACGCCCGTGTGATTATTACGCGACACCGGAAGTCATGTAGCAGGTTTTCTAACCTTGCAAACCCGGGTTAACTATAAACTCTAAGGTTTCAATCAAACAAAGATCATTCACAATTTAGATGACTTTTATTAAATTTACATTTCTCAAATATCGTTTATAACATTACAAAATCTACTACAATCTATACGTTGGTCATAATTTACAGTTTAATATGAAAGCAAAGTTAATTTAAGTTATTTAAGTTTCTTATTTAAGTAAATGGAAAACACTCCTGAGAAAATATAATAAAATAGATTTCTTATTCAAAAATGAAACAAACAAAATATCCCTACATTGGTAAAAATTGTGGCTTATCTCGATGACTAGGTATAAGCTACATTGGCGTCCTTGAGGCAAAAGCAATTGAGAAGGTCAAAATCTTTCTTATATAGTCTAACAAAAAGTGAACTCACTAAAAATCTCATGCTAGAAAATAAA